TAATACTAAATAATAATAATATAATAATAATAATAATAACTAATAATAAAATAATAATAAATCGTTCTATAACAATAGCAACTGCATAAAAAATCCATGGTTATATGATTTTAAACCAATCACAACACAGGATTGGATATAATATGAAAACAAAACAAACTGTCAGTTTTTTTCAAAAAATCATCTGTAACTCAAAATTTTGATTACAAACTCACTTTTTGCATCTTAACAACATTGCAAAAGTTATATTTTTGATAGATCTGCAAAAAAAATTCTTTGCAAAATTTTGCTATATGCAAGTCCCTTTCTACTATCACCCTAATGCTCACCTTTATCCTAATGTCAAAAGTTGATTTTAATCAAAAAATGTGTTGATGATCTGTGGTTTATTTTAGTCAATGAAATTTTAGTGTATATCATCATATGTCTGTGAATTTTCAAATTAAATTATCAAACAATTAGTTTATTTTCTTGGTTGTAACTAATCGATTAATTATTAAGCTGCAACTAATTGATTAATTTTTATTTAAAAGTTCAATTAGTTGTTAGCTTATCAACTAATCAATTTTTTCAACTTTTAATTTGTAACACTAAGTAAAAGAAAGTATTATCGAGGTCACCGAGTTGATGGGATATGGGTTATTGGTAGAGTTAAACAGACAGAGGAAAAAAGATGTTTTGTTGTAGTAGTTGCTAATAGGACTGCTGATACATTACTTGAAGTTATATCTTGGCATGTTTTGAAAGGTTCCATCATGTATACAGACATGTGACAAGAATATAATGGGCTTGAAGGTTTAAATATGACCCATGATGTGGTAAATTATTCTGTAAACTTTGTAGATCCTGTAACTAGAGTTCATACTAATACTATTGAGGAGTTGTAGAATGATTTGAAGTTGAGAATCTTACCTTGTAATAGAATGAAGGATGATATCACCAAGCATCTTTATGAATTCGTTTGAAGTAAAAAAAATAAAAATAATGTATGGGGTAGTTTTATTAATGCTTTAAAAACTACAAGTTATTCCAATTCTGAATAAGTATATGTATTTTTTTTTTTATTTAAATATTAAAATATATGTATTAGCTTTTAATACTTTAAACTGTAAATATGTACAAAATTGTATTCCAGATAATCATGTAATTGTCTTGATAACCATTTAATTAATTTCATGCAATAATAATAATAATAATTTATGTTATAAAGTCAACTTTTCTTTTGCACTACACTTAGCTAATATTGTTTTATATCTTTATTTGCATATAATATGAAAAAAATTATATTTATTGTATAAGAGAAAGAAAATAAGTGGTTTATCTATTACTAAGTAACTTCAAATTTGCAAACAACTTATAAGTCGGTCTAGATATCACATGTAAAATTTTAATAGTAAGTCAAATATTGACACACCTAAATTTTAAGCGAAAATTTGCTTTTTCTGTACTATTTAGTCAAAAAGAAGCTGTCAGTTTAATTTTTGGATATCATTTGCAAATTCTTTAGCATTTGAAGATTCTTCTTATGAAATTTCAAGGGAGGTTAAAAATCAAACCTGAAAAAATCTTAATCATGAAGTTAGCCAATTTTTTTTACAATTTTTACAAAAAAGAGTGTTAGTAATATATTTTATAAGCAAAAAAACCAAACAAAGTTAATATACCCACCCAAAACCAAAAGACCAATTCCAAATGAAAAAGCCAAGAAGAAGTACTAGAAAAGAAAAAAAGGCATTAGTAATGTATTTTACAAGCAAGAAAACCAAACAACAAAGTAAATATACCCACCCAAAACTGAAAAACCAATTTCAAATGAAAAAGCTAAGAAGAAGTATCAGGAAAGAAGAAAAGGTATTAGTAACATATTTCACAAGCAAGAAACCAAACAACAAAGTAAATACATCCACCCAAAATCAAAAGACCAATTTCAAACGAAGAAGCCAAGAAGAAGTATCAGGAAAGAAGAAAAGGTATTAGTAACATATTTCACAAGCAAGAAAACCAAACAAAGTTAATATACCCACCCAAAACTGAAAGTCCAATTCCAAGAGACCAAGAGAGAAATACTGAAAAAGAAGAATGTGCATTAGTAAATGTATTTTCAAGCAAGAAAACCAAACAACAAAGTTAATATACCTATCCAAAACTGAAAGACCAATTCCAAATGAAGAAGCCAAGAAGAAGTATCAAAAAAGAAGAAAAGGTATTAGTAACATATTTCACAAACAAGAAAACCAAACAAAGTTAATATACTTATTCAAAACCAAAAGACTAATTCAAGAGACCAAGAGAGAAACACTAGGAAAGAAGAATGTATGTTAGTAAATGTATTTTCAAGCAAAAAAACCAAACAACAAAGTAAATATACCCACCCAAAACTGAAAGACCAATTCCAAATAAAGAAGCTAAGAAGAAATACCAGGAAAGAAGAAAAGACATTAGTAACATATTTCACAAGCAAAAAAACCAAACAAAGTTAATATATCTACCCAAAAATGAAAGTTCAATTCCAAAAGACCAAGAAAGGAACACTGAGAAAGAAGAATATGCATTAGTAAATGTATTTTCAAGCAAGAAAACCAAACAACAAAGTTAATATAATTACCCAAAACTGAAAGACCAATTTCAAATGAAGAAGCCAAGAAGAAGTATCAGGAAAGAAGAAAAGGCATTAGTAACATATTTTACAAGCAAGAAAACCAAACAACAAAGTAAATATACCTACTCAAAACTGAAAGACCAATTCCAAATGAAGAAGTCAAGAAGAAGTACCAAGAAAGAAAAAAAAGTGTTAGTAACATATTTCACAAACAAGAAAACCAAACAAAGTTAATATACCTATCTAAACCAAAAGTCCAATTTTATGAAGCCAAGAAGGCAAGAAAAAAGGCATTAATAAACCCAAAATCAAAGCTATCCGCTTCCAACAAAGTGATCAAATTTGACAAAAAAAAAAATAAATGTCTAATTATCTAATTGTGATTGCTGATCCACATAAGTTAAATATCTGACTTACATGAGTTAAATATTTAACTTTAATTAGTTTAAGTTAGTTTATTTAATTTTATAATTGTTTAAGTTAGTTTATTTAATTTTATAATAGTTTATTTATTTAACTATTGTCAAATGAAACTAATCAGAATTTGCCTACCTTTACTAAAGAAGATCTGTATAGAAATTGTATTATGATTTTTTATATTTGCTTACCTATACTAAAGATCAATCTACTCTTTTATTACATTACTTTAATCTTGTGTTGTAATAGTATAGCTTCTCTTTGGTAGCCATTATTAATTTTTCTTCTGTTTTAAAATAAACTGATGCTGTTTTCAGTTGTTTTTTGTTTTTATTAACTAAAATATAAACTGTTTTCACTTTTATTGCTTTTAGTTGTTTTAATAATAGCATTTCTATTGTTATTGTTAGAACATTTTTAATTACTGCCTTATATAATGCTTTACTCTTTAAGAGCTCTTTTAAAAAGTAACTAGGATAACTTTACTAGTTTTGGCTTTTTCAAAATGCACTAATCATGTTTGATCAAGCATTGATTTTCTGTTTTTATTTTTAAATTCTATAGTAAATATTGCAGCTTTGCTATTATCACAACTTTTTTATTGAATACATCTAATTCTATCATAGAACTAAAGACTCTTTCTTACTTGTACTAGTTATACTTCTGCTACATTGTGTAAACATCATCTTCTAATTTTATATTTTTATGCATTATCATTTTCTTTTTCATATAACTTTGTTCTTTTACTTGTTTTTCATGCATTTGTTTTACATTCTTAATTACTATAGGTTTTTTTTTTTTGTATTCTACTTCCTTTTTATCTGTCTTATACTTTTTATTTATTTCTATATCACTAACTGTATTCTTTAGCTGATCATTTTCTTTTGTTTTACTTTTTCTTTTCTTTTTATTTATTCTTACTAAACTTTTCTCTGTTTGCTTTTTTAGCATACCATAATCTATACAGCCACATTCTTGTTTTAGTAATATCTCTTTATTCATTTTGTCTTTATTTAATTGCTTAACACTATTTTTTTTGATTTCTCACTGTTTCTTACTTGTATATATTTATAGTAGCTATATACTTCTATTAAATTTTTAAAAACATGACTAAACTGTCTTAGTGCCAACAAGTCTAGTCAATTTCTTATTTTTTCTTAAAATTCTTAATTTGTAACTATTTAATATTTCTTTTTATGGTCTGTCAGATTTATTAAACATATCACAATACTTTTCTAATTTTTTGTACTAGTCAATTTCTATAGATACTAGTTAAATTTTTTGTGTTACACTTTTTTGCATTATTTTTATATCTTTACTAGACATATTCAATATGTGATTTACTATTTATATCTATGTTTATTTGTTTTTTTGCAAAATTATATATCTGTTTATTTGTTTTGCTATATTTATTATAGGTTTGGTTCAAAATCCTAACAAACAGAATCTTAATAGGTCATAATTTCAACAAAAAAATTCTGACAACTAAAATCCTGACAGTCAAAAATTCTAATAGTTAAAATTTTGACAATTAAAAACTCTAATAAAAAATATAATAGACTATAGCAAACTCTATTCTAACTATTATCCAAAGTGATCTAACTCTAAAATTAATTAATTATAAAAGCCTATTTCATTTTAAACATATCTTATACTTGGAAATTTTCTATTTAAAAATTCTGGCTGTTTGAATTTTTGACTATTGGGATTTTTTTGTCAGAATTATGACTTGTCAGAATTCTGGTTGTCAGAATTTTGACTTACACCTATTTATTGTTTACTCTAACATGTTTTATATATTATATGTATAATCTGCAATACAGAGATTTTAAGGTTTTCTTTTTTTTATTAAAAATTTTTAGCAAATGCAAAATTTACTCTAAAAGTTCAAAGTAATTACTATACTGCTATTAACTTAGTTTACTATTTTAACAAACTAAATTTAATTTTTTACTAACTTTAATTTTGCTTAGTTGATAACTATGCTTTTATTTGCTAGTTTTTATAATTTTTACAATTTTTTTTTGCTCTAATTTTGATTATAAAGATTAGTGAAAAGAGTTTTATAAAATCAATATTAGTATTTTTGTTTCTTATTATTATTTTTTTTGTTAAATTATATATTAAATAACTTTTAATAATTTTTTGCAAAAAAGATTATATATTTTCTTGTTTTTTGTAATATTTTGAATTTTTAAATGTCTATTTTAGGCTTTCTAATAAAATTAAATTAAATATCTTTTTATATTTTTTAAAAGTATTTATATATTTTGTTTTTTTCTTATATTTTTTCTATTATTATTAGTGTTTCTAGGTTCAGTTCAGTTCAATTTAGGTTCATGAACCAAGTTCATTGAACCTGAACTAAACCTTAAATTTTGCACATTATTGAACATGAATCTGAACTGAACTTAAAATTTATGAACCCGAACTGAACCTGAACTTAAAATTTGGTTCAGTTCAGGTTCAGTTCAAAGTTCATAAACATGTTCAGGTTCAATATCATATATATATATTTTATAATTTTTAGTTCTAAAGGAAAGATGCTTAATTTTGGATTTTTGATGAAAAAATTCAAAATTAAGCATCTTTTCTTTAAATTTAAAAAATATAAAGTAAATATATGCCAATATGATGTATTTTTATATGTAGAACAAAGTTACTTAAAGAATAAAAATAGAATTAATTAGTAAAATTTGAGAATAATAATATTTTTTATAATTTTATTAATAAAATTATTATAAGTATTATAATTCTTAAACTTTTACTAATTAATCCTATTTTTATTCTTTAAGTAACTTTGTTCTAAACATAAAAATATATTATATTGGTATATATTTACTTTATATTTTTTGTATTTATAGAAAAGATGCCTAATTTTAGATTTTTTCATCAAAATTCCAAAATTAAGCATCTTTCCTTTAGAACTAAAAATTATAAAATAAATATATACTTATATAATGCATTTTTATATATAGAACAAAGTTACTTAAAGAATAAAAATAGGATTAATTATAACAATTTTCATAATTTTATTAATAAAATTATAAAAAATATTATAATTCTTGAAATTTATTAATTAATTATATCTTTATTCTCTAAGTAAATTTGTTCTATATATAAAAAATATATATATAATATTGAATCTAAACATGTTTATAAACTTTGAACTGAACCTGAACTGAACCAAATTTTAAGTTCAGGTTTAGTTCAGGTTCATAAATTTTAAATTTAGTTCAGGTTCATGTTCAATGATCTGCAAAATTTGAAGTTCAGTTCAAATTCAATAAACTTGGTTTATGAACCTAAATTGAACTGAACTGAACCTAGGGACACTACTAACAACAACCAACAAAAAACCAAAGCCAACCCAACATTTGACTGGCTTGACAACTTTCCTGTAACTGAAAAAATAAAAAATAATTTACAATTACAAACAGACTTAACAAAAAAAATCTTTAATTTTCTTAAACAACACCTATTTAACTTCAAACCTAAAACTAAAATTAAATCTAAAATTGATAATCAACTAGTTTTTAACACTAGCTTCTACTACATAATCCACAAAATGACAGGAGAAAGACCCAATTTCTAGTCAAGTTTATTCAGAAAAACAACCTAAATACTGACAAAGCTATAACTATTTCTTTTGATGTATTTAAAGAAACTTTAAAAAAACTAATTCTTATATTTACTATTGTATTCTTTACAAAACATAATTATTCAAAAATATTTGCTTTATTTGCAACTATCCTTTCTTACACAAGCCCAAACTGATTACAATTCTGCATCAACTGTACATATCTTTACCTTTATCTTACAAACAACTACCAAGCTATTGACTATATTAAATTTGCTAAAGATATTCAACTTTGATCTAAAAGGTTTAGAATCTTATCTAAAGTAGTTGACTTTGACAAAGATAAACAATATCTTACAATCAGCTCTGATAGCAAATTTAATATATATCTCAAATTTAATATTTCCAAAATACTTTTTTTACAAAATCTTAATATCACATCTCTTAAAAACTCACTTGACCACTTTAAACAATGGTTTAACCAATTTTTTCTATTATATAATCACCAATTTATCAAATCTATAGATGAAATTAAGGTTTTTAATGCATTTAAATACCAATTTTGCCAAAATTTTATTTTACATCTTAAAGAAATAATGACAACCAAACTAAGCTTTACAAAACCTAACAACTTACAGAAACATTATAACAAATTAATTAAATATACTAACCATCACATCCTTTTCTGTACAGATACTAACTGCATCTACTTAGATGAAGCAAAACAATTAAAAAAAAGAAAAGAAGTTAAACCTAACAACTTTAAAGAACAATCTTAATACTATAAACATTCTGCTCAACTTTTTAAAAGTATTTTCCAAAAATCCTATAATAACTTTTCTAAATAAGAAAATGAAATCTGGCAACAACCTAAACTTGACTCCTTCTTATTTTATAAAAACAGCAAATATGAAGCATCTTTTGACAAACAAATTCCAACTTTATTACTTGATAAACTTGCAAGTGATGCAGAAAACTTTGCTTTCAAAACTAATAATGT